CCCCAGGTCTCTCTGTTCTACAACACTACCCAAGGCCCTACCATTAATTGTATAAGCTCTTCCCTTGTTGATGTACCAAAATGCAATATCTCACATTTATCCAGATTGAACTCCATCTGCCATTTTTCAGCCCATTGAACCATTTGATCAAGATCTCTTTGTAATCTTAGGAAACCTTCTTCACTGTCCACTGTGCCACCAATTTTGGTATCATTAGTAAGCAAACTTACTAAATATGCCTTCTGTATTCTTCTCCAAATCATTTATGTAAATGACAAACAAAAGAGGACCCAGAACTGATCCCTGTGGATCACCGCTGGTCACCGGCCTCCAGTCTGAAAAGCAACCCTCCACCAACACTGAGATAACAAGGTGTAGAGCTGGATGAACACAGCAGGCCAAGCAGCATCAGAGGAGCCGGGAAGCTGACGTTTTGGGCCTAGACCCTTCCACCAACACTGTCTGTCTCCTGCCATTAAGCCAATTAATTATCCAGTTGGCAGGCTCACTCTGAACCCCATGTGACCTAACTTTACTAATTAGCCTACCATGCAGAACCTTGTCAAAGACTTTACTAAAATCGAAATTAATGACATCTACCGCTCTGTCATCATCAATCTTTTCGTAACTTTCTCAAAAAACTCAATTTTGTGAGACACAACTTTCTTCACACAAAACCACGCTGACTATCCCTAATCAATTTTTGTCTCTCTAAATGGCCATAAATCCTATCTTTTATAATCATCTCCAGCAATTTACCCACAACCGAAGTCAGACTCACAGCTCTATATTTCCCCGATTTTTCCTTACAACCTTTCTTAAACAAAGGTACAACATTAGCCACCCTCTAGTTATCAGGCACCCCACCCATAGTTATAGATGATGCAAATATTTCTGCAAGGGGTTTCGTAATTTCCTCCCTTACTTCCCACAACACTCTGGGATACATTAGATCAGGTCTCGGAGATTTATCCACCTTTATATTCTCTAAGACCACCCGAACTTCCTCTTCTGCAATGTGAACTGTTTTTGAATCATCAAAGTTTATTTCTCTGCATTCTCTGGACTCTATTTCTTTCTCTACAGTAAAAACTGACTCTCTTTCTTTTAATGTATTCATAGAATCTCTTTGAATTATCCTTAACCTTATGTGCCAATGCTATCTCATATCTCAGAGATCAGCTAAGAGTCAGCCACATTACTGTGAGTGTGGAGTCACATGTAGACCATTTGTTAGATGATTGAAACTGTGATTGTTAATTGCAAAAGTTAGAACTATTAATTTTTTTAGAATCATAAATTATTGTCGTCTCTATTATTGATTTATACCACATGGGTAATTTTACATTTTTAATCTAATTAGATTTTGTACAGAAAATCCCTTCAAAATAGGTCACCATCATTATGGTCTCTTGGTACCAAATACTAAACTTGCATTTTGCATTTCCAGTATCTTCTTGATCTCACACATGGAAGCTGTTTCTCATAGAAGAATTAACGTATTTTGTTCCAGAACAATTTATTACTTCACTATATTGATATGAGGTTTATGTTTTTGGCATGACAACCAAATACTCTAAATCTTTGAATGGTTTGGCTTGATTTTAATATATTTTTCACAGCATTTAGAATACAAAAAATGTGCCTTTGTTTCTTCACATGTCATTTTGATATAAGCCTATAAATTATATGGTAAGTTTCTTCTTTATGGTTACAGAGAAATAAAACAAATAGAAGGGCACACATTTAAAGGACAAGCCATTTTCAAATTAGATTTTAAGGGTTTGTGCACACAAATTACTTCCACAAAAAAAAGGAACACTCTCCTTGTCAGTTCCTCTTCCTTCAGAATTATTTCATTAACACTACCTGTTCAAATTGAAATTTGCAAAAGCAACCTTCATTATGGTTTTATTAAAATTGCTGGAACTACACTGCTGGATAATTGAGGCTTCTGGAGAAAACAAAACCAATACTTCACAGTAAATTGTATCTTTAGCCAAGAACAGCATCCTGGAACACTTCACAGACATAATCACAAAAATAAATGCTGAGGACACATTGGGAGAGGCGATCAAAGGCTTGATCAAAGATCTGGGTTTTAAAGAAGAGACGGAGTGAAAGGAGGACATTACAAAGCTCGAAGCCTAGACAGCTGAAGGGATGGCAGCCATTGGAATGAGGTCGAGCCACTAGTGGTTGGCAGAGGAGGCCAGAATGAACAATTTTAATGTAGGTGAAGAGAGTGCAGGAGCCAAAGTAGATTGATGAGGCTAGGTAACCAGTGACTGGGTCATGACAGAGGAAAGGATAGCAGAATTTTAGATTGATTAATATATACAGTGTCAGGATGGGAGACCAATTGAGCCAGGTATAGAATAAACCAGTCTATTTGCCACAAGATTGTGGGCAATTGTTTCAACAGCAATTAGACAGTGTTATTAAGGCATGTTCTGGTGATCCTTGTGATAGAAGTGTTATGCATCTGGGAGCTCAGTTCCTGATCATATCAGGTACCAAGGTTGCAAGCAGTTTGTTTCAAACCAAGACTGTGGTTATGGAAAGTTTCATTAAAAATGAAAGCGTGACTAATGTCTAACAGCACAGCTGCAATGGAAAGTTCAGAAGAAGGTGTTGGAGAAATAGGGTTGGGTGTTGTTAGCAAAAATGTGCAGCTGTCCTCATGTTTTCGGATAATAACACAAGAAACAACATGAAGAAAGGAACAGGCCAAAGATATATCTTTGGGAATTCTGGAAGCACCGGTATAGAGATGGAAGAAGTGGCCATCAATGATTATCCTACTAATGAAATGACTGGCAAGAGTGGAACCAAGCGAGGATAATTCAACTCTGGTGGACAAAAAAGAAGAGGCATTTGAAGGATAATTATGAAGTTGATCACATCAGAAGATGCAAAGTGGTCCAAGAGGGATGAAGTACAACCATTGTGGCTGGTGTTGTTTCGGCCCCGTGTCAGTGCAGTTGTGTAATTGGGCAGATATAAGAAATCTTAGAACAGAGGACGTGAGTAGGCAGGGGATTATACATTCAAGGACTTCAGAAAAGAAAAAGAAATAGTAGATGGCATGATAATTTGCAAGACTGAGAGCTTGAGGGTGAGTATTTGGCAAGAGCGTTGATGGTGATTTTGAAAAAGAATTGGACAGTACATGAGAAGAGAGGAACGTTTACATTGTCAGTTATCATGGATGTCAGAAAGAAAATTCATCTACAGGGTCAGTTATTTAATGGCAATGGGGTCAAGGGAATAGCAGATTCTCTTCCCTAAAGAGAAATTAGTCAATTAGATGGGATTTTAAGACAATCATTTCACTATCACTATTGCAAGTTTATAATCCCAGATTTTGTTAATTGAATTTCTATGATTCTATCAATTTAAATCCCATCAACCATCATGCTGAAACTTGAACCCCTGTCCCCAAAGTATTAGCCTGGCCCTCTGGATTACTATTAGTCCAGTGACACTACTACTATCATATTTATATATTTGCTGCTGTTGAATGCAAACTTCCACAGTTTTGCTAAGTATTTTAAAATAATATTGTAACCGGTGACAAAGATTGTGGAGCTTTGGACTGGATTTTGCTTTTCAGTGAGGTGAGAGAGGTGGAATGGAAACAAAATTTTCCACTTGCTTCCGCTCCTACTGAGCTCATTGAATCAAGCATTGGACAGCTAAACCATGCTTTCTAGCCCAAGACAACCAACTTTAGTTTCAAAGGGGGCTTCATACCCAATCAGGACCTTAGGAGGGGACATCATGTGACAGAGTGTTGATGCCATCAGCAGGAAGTTGGTCATGCCTGTAAGTTAAAAGGCTTTCTGCTGTCTGAATCTTTCTTGATCTCTTGTGGCTGGCTTGAAAGAATTAGATAACAAGAGGTGTTGCAATCTACATCAGAATCTGCTACTACATTCATCCAAATATTTTCTACTAGTCCAATAACACCTTTCACCGTAAAAAAAATCTCCCAAACGTTTCCAAGTCTAAAGCTGCAAAAAGGCAATGAGTGCTGAAAAATTTCAGATGATTGGATTATAAACTTATGCAATAACTTGTTAATTAGCAATTTCTAAAAGGTACACAAGTTGCTGACATCATTGCCTGCTCAACTTGTGGAATGTTGGAAATTGGCTTGATGACATTCCAACATCATGTTGTATTTTGTATTTATTTGGAAGGCAGCCTTGCCCAATTTGTAGGCAGGAAATCTAGCCCATTCTGTTATTAATTTCATTCTTTTTGGAATTCATTTGTAAATATATAACTATTGCAACAAATTAGAATCCCGAGAGTGCAGAAAGAGGCCATTTGACCCATTGAGTCTGCACCAACCCCCAAAGAGCATCCCACCCTAAACCTGTAACGGCACATTTACCATGACTAATCCACCTAACCTACACATCCCTGGAACAATGGGGAATTTAGCATGGCCAATCCACCTAATCTGCTCATCTTTTACTGTGGGAGGAACCTGGAGCACCCAGAGGAAACCCACGCAGACACATGGAGAACATGTTAACTCCACACAGACAGTTACCCAAGGCTGGAATCAAACCCAGTTCCCTGGCGCTGTGATGTAGCCATGCTAACCACTGAGCCATCGTGCTGCCCAAATTCTGTGCATGTTCACTGTTGTACGCAGCTCTAATCAACTGTGGTAGCACCTCTACACCAAAATGAATATGATCATTTAAAAAGATTTTCATGAATTTCATTTCTTCAACTTCACTTTAATTCTTTTTATTATTTGTTAATAGTATACTATGGCATGACTTGAATAGATAATATTTTCAACATTTCAAATGAGGCTAAAGCTAATGTAATAAGTAAAATATTTAATGCAAAAATAACAGCAAAGTCACTGTTACACTTTGTATGTACAAGTCAAACTACTTCTTTCTCTTTTCAATAAGAAATTGGATTTCTCTCTTACACTGGACGTGCTGAATAATTTACATTTCTCCTACTTTCAGATTGACCTGCTTGTTCCAACTAAGGTGACTGGTATAATCACCCAGGGTGCAAAAGACTTTGGACACATACAATTTGTGGGTTCATACAAAGTTGCCTACAGTAATGATGGAAGGAAATGGTCTGTTTATAAAGATATAAAACAACAAAAGGATAAGGTAAGTATTGGAAAAAAATAAAAATTTCATACATTAAATGGGCCTGATTCAATCAAAGAAGTTAATCAGTGTTTCTCGAGTTTCTGAAGATTCAGTTTTCCATTTCATATATTTCATTTCAACCAAGGTAATCAAATAATTGAATCACATAGGATTTTGTTTTTATACGGGTAAGTGCTAAAAAGCGTTCAGAGCTTTGTTCAGATTTAACACCTTGGTATAAAGTCTGCAGCATAATTTTGTGATTCTCTTTTGAATTTGCATTTTCAAACTTTAGCAGGCAAAAACCCAATACAAAGAGAGGAATCAATTTGCAATATAGATAGTGGTCAAGTTGATTGCTATTGGCAAGTGAACTAAATAGACTTCTATTTGAACCAAAACCTGAAAAATGCTAAACCCCATCACTAGATTGATCTTTCTTGAGGCATCAGGTCCTAGCATATTACTGTGTAATTGGAAATGTTTTAAAGCCCACACTCAGAAGTGTGTTTCAGGATCTGTTGCCATCTTTCTTCAGAGGGTGTATCTGGAAAGGCTTTAGGAATTCAGTATTTATGCTAATGTATCAACAGACATTGATGCCATTTGGCTCTATAGTCTCTATACCCTGGCTGAGCAAGTTAATTGGATCAGCTAGCAAATGAATATATTTAAATTAGTTGGAGATAGCAAGAACTGCAGATGCTGGAGTCAGAATCAATACAGTGTGGAGCTGGAGGAACACAGCAGGTCAGGCAGCATCAGAGTAGCAGGAAAGTCGACATTTCAAGTTTACACCCTTCATCTGACCTGCTGCGTTCCTCCAGCTCCGCACTGTTTTGACATTTAAATTAGTTGTTCAGTTCAAATTTAGATGATCCATTTTTATTCCTGCCCCAAATAAACCTAGAAAATATCAAAGGAACAAGAATTTAAATGTAGAAAGAGATTCCTTATGTTACCCAGAACAAACAAAGGCCAGAACTGCTGAATGCCTCTGAGAATGAAACTCAATCAGCATTCCATGGACTATTTGGTTGTTGTTACCACATGGTGAAGGCCAAGAGAGTGAAATTTGCCTGTTGAGTGAATCAACATGTTACAAGAGCTTTATACTTACTTGGCATATAGCACAGGAACAGGCCATTTGGCCTCACCTAGTCTGTGCCAATGTTTACACACCCGTGTAAGTCTCTTGCAATTCCATCTCCTTCATTTCAATCCTTCAGCTTGTCTTTCTATTCCCTTTCTCTTTTATACTAATCTACTTCCCTTTTGATAGCATCTAAGGTCCTCAACCATTCCTATGGTACCTTATTGTACTTAGTAACTACCCTGAATCAAGTAATTTCTGCTTACTTCCACTGGATTTATTCATGACAATTATTTATTGCCTGTAGTTTTGTATTGAAAGCATTCTTTCTACATCTATTCTGTACAACCCCCATTCCCAATTCTGAAGACTTCTATCAAGCCATCTCTGGAATTCTTTTGTTTTCATCATGGTAACTTGAAGCTTCTTTTTTTTAAAATAATTCTTGTATCAGATGTGGATATCACTGCAAGGCTGTCATTTCTTGCTCATTCCTATTTGGTCTTGAACTGATTGGCGCTCTAAGCCATTTCAGAGGGCAGTTAAGATTGAACCTCATTGCTATGGTTCTGGAATTATATGGGGGCAAGACCAGTTAAGAACAACGGATTTCCTTCTCTAAAGGACATTAGTTAACCAGGTGGGCTTTTATGACAATTAACAGTGGTTATGTGGACACCTTTAACTAGATTTTAATGCCATATTTTATTGAATTCAAGTTATGCCATCTGCCATGTTGGGGTTTGTATCCATGAATCCAGAATAGTTGCATGAGGCTCTGGAATACTAGTCCAGCGGCATGACCATTATGCCATGTCCTCCTCATAAATGACCAAATGGTAATGTTTGTAGTGGCTGGGGGGATCATGTTGCTGATGGTTTAATAATAACACATCTTATTTTTCAATTGACAGGTTTTCCAAGGTAATTTCGATAATGATACACACAGAAAAAATGTAATAGATCCCCCTATTTATGCACGATATATTAGGATCTTGCCCTGGTCATGGTATGGCAGAATCACTCTGCGGCTGGAGTTACTGGGATGCACCGAAGAGTGATGAATACTGGCTACTGTGAAGAAAATTGTCCTTGGAATATCTCAACAAAAACTGCACAAACCTGTAAGATATCAAAGGGTTTTCATGAACAAGTGTTCAGTTTATGATAGGCATGAGTCAAGTTACCTGGTCAAGGCCTGCCCTTTATCAGCCATTCCAATGGTGAATTTTCTTCCTTAGAAATTTATTTTCATGTGCTTTGTTAATTTATACATAATGAAAGAGATCTTTTTATAATTGCAGACTTTCGTCCCTTCCCCGCCTCCAGCAAATTTGATTGATATGCATAGGACTAAAATCTCTAATCATTATTGCAGGTGCCAATATTGTTTCCTATTTATTGTAAGCATTTTTTTTTTCTCTTTGACTCCTAAAAGTTATAAGTTTTTCAGTCATTCAGTTTCAGTTCTTCTTTATTATTACAACGTACCCGACAATAAAACAATTGAGCACTAATAAAGTTTTCATTCTTCACATTATGCATGTCCCACATTGTAAGAGACAGTGTCCCTTTCTAGGTGCCATTTTGCCACATGCATGAAATTTAATTTACAAACCTTCCTACTTACAAACTTGGTGATGCCAGTTTGTATGCATTGGACATATAATTAAAATATTAAAGGAGAAAACCAAGACAGTTTGTGACCCTAAAGACAGAAAAACAATAAATCCATGAATATACAAGATAATAAATGTTGATGTGTGGGTACGCATCAACCACGTTTTGTTTGGAGTGCATGCCAGGATTCCAAAGTCAATCATTATTGTGTTGCATGTTGGCATTTTCAACTAAAAGTATTCTGTTAAAAGTTTTTTATTAATTAAAAGAGAGGCAATTCCTGTCTAGGAGAGTGAATGAAAGGGGGAAAAGTGATGTTTGGATTTAAGTTTGAGTGAACTGATGAAACATGAGCTGTCTGCTGAGTCTTAATCTGTTCAGTTGTGTTCTGATTTGAATAAATGTAAAATGACCTTTGTATATCAATGAACATACTACATGATGGCATTGTAAGTCACTCAGTTTGAGTCATTCATTATATAGTATCTTGATGCACACAGATGGCTTTGTCCTACTGTTTAATTTCTGCAACACAACAAACTAAATTGTAACATATTCATACAGAACTCACACCTATGTAATGTGATTCAGATGCTGTTGTTTGACACTTTCAGAATTTAACTATTCATGTACTGAAATAGTTGAATTGTAGTGCTGTTTTACTTAATTATCGTATCTTCTTTTAAAAATACTGTTATTACAGACTAAAAGTTACCATAGTAAAATAACACTAAACTTATAAAATTCTGGAGTATATGAATGGTAAGCATTTGTGTACTGATAAAGGAAAAGGACCATGTAGTGCATTGAAGCCTTATTTACTGGGATTCCTAAATTATTTACCACTTGAATATTGGTGTTTATATTGTGTATTTAACATTAATAACATTGAATGAGCATTTTAAACAAGCACCATTTTATTGTAAGATAACAAGTAAACCATGTGTTTGGCAGTTCTGTTAGTTGTTGCTTCTGTCTATGAAGCTAGGCTTTCACATGTGGCACTGTCATGTATAGCTTTCATATTATTTAGGCACAGGACTGTGACAAAGCTTACAAAAACATCAGATTAGAGGTTCCAATCAATTGTATCCTTTTTAATGCCCCACAATAGTAATTTCCACCATGTTGCTGGATAAAATGGCACAAACTTCAGAGCTTGGGTAATAATGGGGGTAGATACCCTGAAACCAAACCACAAACTTAATTACAACCCTGATGCACATTATTTGTTTATTCCTGATTTGAGAACTAAGGTTGCTGGCTAGGTATGATTACATTCCCAACTATATAAAGATATAAATGTTAAATGTTTTGCAGACTATTATTCCTAATCTGTGCAGGGAATTTAGAAAGTTCCACATTTTAGAAGTTGCACCCTCATTGCTATAATGTCATTAGTGTGGTAATGTTTCTGATTTTTCAGTTTAACCATAACAGCTTTACAAGTTTCTTAATTTTTACAAGAGCTACTATAGATTACAATATTTTCTATTTTCCGGAGTCTCTCAAGAGCTGCAGTATCCTTTTTAATGTGTCTCTAAAGGCCGACGAGTATTAAAATGATAGTTATCCAATGACAGATCTCGCAGTCACCTTTTTAAATTCAGTTCATATAATTGAGTTTTGCTGCTTAGAATTTTGTTGGATGCTGAAGACAGTAAAATTTATGAACTTTTTATTCATTGCTTTTACTGCAAGCTTGAAAAGAATGAGGTTACATACCTTACACAAAATTGATTTAGAACCAAGAAGTCGGTCAGTCTGGCATTTATAAACTATATTTACATATTTGTCATGCTTAGAAGGAGGCTAACAATAAATAAGGGAATTAATGCAATCAAATTTTATATGGGATGTCTAACCACCCAACCCCCCACCCCAAAAAAAATACACTGCATTAAGGTTTAAGTCAATTTTCTTTTTCACTGATGTGGATAATTTTAAATTGACTCTATGAAGGACAACAAAAGGTATATTTCAGTTGTAGCATTGTAGAAGGGCAGAGGATTTGTGGAGAAATCAATTTTACTTCAAGCTATTCAAACCACTAGGTTGTTAGCATGTCTTTGATTGTACAGCATTCCCAGTCCTGTGATGCACTGAGTGACTTAAGAATGTATTGATATGTAAATGAAATGAAATGGAAAGTCAACCATCAAAATTATATTGGGCACAGAGTATGTACAAATTGATTAAATTCAGATCTATAGGATTCAGACTGACTTAGCAATGATAAACTCATTGTCATTTGTGGTACCTGATAAATGGAAAGCTTTTCCCAATATATATGCTTTCCCACTGTAACAGCACTATGCTGTTTACAAACATCAGTTAGTGAAGTAAGTATAACTTCTAGTCAATATTATCACCCAAGAAACAATTGAGCAATTTCTATAGCAATTTCCTCATCAGAACTGCTGCCTCACAGCACCAGGGACCCAAGTGCGATTCCACCCTCGGGCGACTGTCTGTGTGGAGTTTGCACATTCTCCCCATGTCTGCGTGGGTTTCCTCTGGGTGCTCCGGTTTCCTCCCACTGTCCAAAGACGTGCAGGCTAGGTGGATTGGCCATGCTAAATTGCCCATAGTGTTCAGGGATGTGTAGATTAGGGGGATGGGTCTTAGTTAGATGCTCTGGGAGTCGGTGTGGAGGGCCTGTTTCCACACTGTAGGGATTCTGTGATTCTATGAGAAACAAGTTGGTGGACAGATGTCACAAAAAATATACTAAATCTATTATGCAATTCACTCTTATCCTCCAGAAGCCTACTTTCCCATCAATTTCCTCTAAACAAAATGGAAAAGTACTTTCCACATCAAAAACAGAATTGCAGTGCCCATACCCAGGAAAGAATACCTAACACTGAATTTTAGGCTGGATTTTAGCTACCAATTCTGGTGGCTGTAATCGGGAATTTTCACAACTTGCCAAACTTCCCTCAACAAAAGGTACATGGGAGCGGAGTGTGGGGCAAGGGTATAAGATGCAGTCAGGCCTACTGGTTCCAGATGTAAATCAATTGGTAGCTGCAGAGCAGACAAGTGCTGGGCAAGCTGATTAGAAAGTCTGCCTTGGTTCTCTGGGCATTGTCCCAGCTGCATTAGAAGCCTTTAGACCCTCAAGTCCTCATTTCTGATATCTTTTGACCCTTTTCCTATCAATCTAACATGGTCCCTTCTATCTTCCATGATAACGCAATCTTAATTCATGGTATTTCTGTATCCATTCACCCTGTATTCCCTGTATAAACAGCCAATGAGCCATAATAATAACAATAACAAATATGGTACAGCTGAGAAAAAAAATACCACTCATAAATCTTGAGAAAACTGTTCTACCAATCATGTAAAAATGTAAGTCACACAGAATCAGTAACTGGCTTCATGAACTTCGTACTTCTTAATTTCCCTCAACTAAAAACGGAATCATTGGCAAAAGAGATCACAGAATGAACTTATTATAACCACTTAAAAATTCAATGAAGTCAAACATTTCAGTTATTAATACATAACCCAATGCTGAGTTAATGTTTCAGTTAGTCTGGGCTTACACCCAAGAGGTTTGAGTGTTTGAAGCCTAGATTTTTAATACTTTAATGGTCACCCTGTTTGACGCTGTCATATGAACAGCAGGGTTTTGTTTTAAGATTGGTGAATGTTTTGTTTTAGGTGGTGAATCATGGTGCAGGTCTAGACAGTATTTGTAAAGACAGAAACAAAGTTAATGTTTAAGTCCAATATAAATTTGAAGAACAGTTATTTTTGACTCAAAATGTTCTCTTTAGTTTTTGATTCCTAGATGTTGCCACACCTGCTGAGTATTTCCAGCACTTTCTGTTTTTATTTCTGATCTCCAGCATCCACTGTACCTTGTTTTTGCAATAGAAATCCAGAACCCCATGCAAATATTCTGGGGACATGTGTTTAAATCCAAACATGGCAGAAGGTGTAAACTTAAGTTCAATAAACATTTGGAATAAAAAGCTATCCAGTGGCAACAATTATCTATCATTGTGAAAACGAACCTAGTTCACTAATCTCCTTTAGGGAAGGAAATCTACCATTACCTTATCTGGCCTACATGCCCAACTCCAGACGGAAAGCAATGACTCTTAGTTGCCACCTGTGCAATTAGAGATGGGTATTAAGTGTTGGCCTAGCCAGTGACACCAAAGCACTATGTGCATCTTTGAAAACAAAAATGCCTGTAGAGTGGTGTATACACAAGCAAAGAGAAAACTGCTCATACTTCATTGGTAAGTGACAGAAAGCAGTAGCCAATTTTGAAGATGGTGTTACAGGAAGAGGCTCGGATTTTTTGTAATTCCTTTCGAAAAAATAATGCACAGAATGGACAAGTAGAGGCTGGTTCCCTCTGCTCCAGGTGCAGGCCACTCCCCTCAGCAGTCATTCCAGCTCCACAAAAATATAGATCATAGAGTCTTAGGCAATAAAGTAGTCTTTCAGTCCATGGTACTTGGGTTAGTTCTTTAAAAGAATTATTCAATTACCCCTCTCTCCCGTACTCATTAACCATAATGTAGCACTTCTTTATACTTTTGCAGCATATCCTAATTGCCTTTTGAAATTCATGACTGTATCTAATTCCACTATCCTTTCAAATAGTGCATTTCATGTGATAAGAACTCAATGCATAATTAAAACGATCATTGTCCCTTGGTATTATTAATTCTTATAAATATTCAGCTGCCCTGGATTGGAATGAACTCCTGTCTGTACCATCTTAAATCTGTCCTCTGTTCTTCAACCAACTTGCCAGTGTAAAACAGACTCTGTCAATTTATCATAATCACACATATTGCTGTACAGCTCGTACAGAAAGATTGGAAAATTATCAAATTGGGGACAGAGCTTGGTGATGAGAACATATATGAGCACTTCGTTATGGTGGATTTTGTGTGATTTCCATGGCTGCCTGATTTTCCACTGTAAACTTGGTTGATGGTTGATGGAATCAAAATAAATGTTTCTGCCACTTATCATGGGCATTTGATGATAGCTCGCTAAAGTTACATTAGATGGTTGGGAGAATTCTGTTGAAAATCCATGATAAATTATGCATAAAATTAGGAATAGATTTGGTATGCTAGAAGTTAGTTGCTTTGGGGTCGCTTGTGGAACTGCTACCAAATCACTTTCCTCAAAAAAGTGAACCAAGGCACTATTCAAACCAAGAAAAGTAATTTGTACAGCTCAAAGACACAAGTCTGTTGTGAATTGTTTCAGGACATTTACCAATTTACCCAACTTGTGTGTGGAATAGTTAAAGTAATTATAACTGTTAAAGCTGTTGCCAAAATGAATAATTTTGCCGTAATTTATGCAAAACACTTTAAAAAATGTATTAGCATTCTGTGATTTATTTAAGGGAAAGTATTGATATTTGTGTTTACTTATATCTCATTCATGAAGTTCCTAATAGAGAAGTTGACTTTCCATTGTTGGACATTACAATAAGGTCTGAAATGAAATTTTGACTTCAGGTACTTTATGGGCTTGTTTTATTCTTGTATGAAAATTACTCACCAATATCTTGAAAAAAATGTGGCTTACAACCATCCTAAAGTTAAAAAGCATATAAAGCTTAAATGATGTAATAGGGGAAAAGTAATCACTGCAATCTTAGCAACTGTGTAACAATACTCTTGGTTTTGTATTAGGCTCCAATTCTGATGGTTAATGCAAAATCCATACAAGCTTGTATGTTCTTCAGATTAACAATAAAACTTTGAAACATCTACAGCTCTTGAAACTTGCTTTATATTGATTTATGAATTATTTGTAATTGTTCGAAAGGGCTAAATTGTTCTAATATTTGCAGTAAATGAAAGCAATAACCACTGATAACTGTTCCGTGGTGACAATAAACTCTACATATCAACCACTGAAGTAATGTATTTGTGCCAATCCCCTTTTGTTCTCAACTAAAATCATACTATCACCTGTCTTTATGCTCCATTTGAATGGAAGCAATCAAAACCGACAGTATGTCTTGCGAAAAGTATAATTAATGCAGATTGTCAGAATGTTCTCATCTAGTCAACTCATTTCTATTAAATTACTTGTGATCAAACTTCAAATTGGATCTCCAGATATTAAGTGTGCAGAAAATATCTTAATGACCCCATACACTGTCACAATTAAATATTTGAGATATGATATTCATTACCATGAATGGTTATCAAGGACAATGAGTTATTACTGCTTTCAGCAAAGAAAGTAATGACATTAATCCTTAGCACATCTAATGGGTTGTCTCAGAAGCACTTTACAGCAAATAGGTCACTTTTGAAGTGCAGGCACTGTTACGGAGCAATGTATTAACAAACTTGTTTAAAGTAAGACATTCATCCAATTCTTAGTAAAGGAATGTTTTGTCAGAAAAATTATCAGCCTACTAGTTGCAAGTATTATAATTTGTACTTGTACAATTTTATGTATCATTGATTGTGACAAACTGTCTTTTTCCACTGACAGAGATCCATGAATGTTACATCTGGGTAGTCTGCCTTCAATAAATTCCTTAAATCATCACAATCCAATAATTAGCAATATGTTTAATGTATAATTGTCATTATCAGGTCATATTTCTCAGACTCAATAAATAAGTTTAGAATTTATATAATTGCAAGATAAGAATGTGAAAATAAATTGTAAATATGTTGGAAACTTATTGAATGCATTTTGTGAGGTTGTTTTATGCCAAAACAAAAGATCTTGGCATTGTCCCATTTAAGCATCAACAATAAAATCCACTTAAGAAAATCATATCTTTAGTTGGAGAACAAAGCCAATTCAAATGTGATTAAAGGCAGGAGTGAAGCAAAAGTCGTTGAGTTAACATTGCTCTTCACTGGTAAATGGCGGATGGATTTTGGCATGTCACATGCTCAAGATTTGTTTTGGTTGTAAAAAAGGAACATTGTTGGTCATTTAGAGACAGCTGAATAAAGAATTACTATATCTCATTTAGCATCAACTGGAAATCCAAAAATAATCCATGAGTACCCTGCATGATAAGGGTGATCTCACTGTATGTTTTTAATTTAAAAATCTTCCTACTCGCACCACCTTCCTCATCTCTCCATCCTTACCTATGATGTCAAGCGTGTGTAGTTCATGGAATTTTTGACTTCAGATATCCACATGTCTAGCCCAATGATGAATACACATTCTAGATTCTTGTCCTGT